TCAGCTCCATGTAGCGACTGATTGCTGTCATTGTCCTCAGTGACTTGCAGTGTGACAGTGTGGTGAGAGGCACCCAATCCAAATTCTTGCAAGTAAAGGCAGGGAGACAGAAAGGAGAATTCTCAGTCAGGAGGCATTTTCTAAAAACAAGGTCACATTTTATTCAAAAGGGTCCCCGTGGTATTTTCTCGCTCTCTCTTTTTTTTACAGCACATCTCACTTTCGGCTTCCTATGTGTCTTATCTTTCTCTTTCGGGTCACAGTAATTCAGTGTTTCCCAAATTTTGCAGCACAGTAGAATCAATTAGGAATCTATTTTTTTTTTTTTTTTCGTAGAGACCAGTTTCACTGTGTTGCCCAGGCTGGTCTTGAAGTCCTGGGCTCAAGGGATCCAGGGGTGATCCTCCCACCTCGGCCTCCCGAAGTGCTGGGATGACAGGCATGAGCCACCACACCTGGCCTATTCTGCTTTTGAAGATCCCCAGCTGAGCAGCGATCTGGAGTGAGCTGTGATGGAGGCACTGCATTCCAGCCTAGGTGACAGAGTGAGGCCCTATCGTACAAACAAAACCACGAATGTTGACTTCCCACTTCCAGACATTCTGAGTTCATTGGTATGAGATGTAACTGGGAAGTGGATAGTTTAAACGCTCCCCAGGTGATTCTGACACCCGGCAAAGTTTGAGAACCACTGCAGTAGGTGTCAAATAAGTGCTTTTGCAAAGCTGTGGTCCTCTAATCTTGGTGCACATCAGAAGCACCCTGTGGGCTTGCTACAATACAGATTGCGGCCGGGCACGGTGGCTAAAGCCTGTAATCCCAGTACTTTGGGAGGCCGAGGCAGGCCGATCACCTGAAGTTAGGAGATAGAGACCAGCCTGGTCAACATGGTGAAACCCCATCTCTACTAAAAATACAAAAATTGGCCGGTTAAGGTGGCATGTGTCTGTAATCCTAGCTACTCGGGAGGCTGAGGCAGGAGAATCGCTTGAACCCAGGAGGTGGAGGTTGCAGTGAGCTGAGATCATGCCATTGCACTTCAACCTGGGCAACAAAGTGAGACTTCGTCTCAAAAATAAATAAACAAATAAATAAAATGCAGATCGCTGGACCACACCCTAAGTGTCAGATACCTGCCACCACACCCAGCTAATCTTTGTATTTTTAGTAGAGATGGGGTTTCACTACGTTGGTCAGGCTGGGAGATCTGGGTGGAGCCCTCAAATTTGCATTTCTCACAATTTCCCAGGTAATCCTGGTCTAGGGCCCACACCTTGAGAACCACTGCTCTGAAGGATTGCTAAAGAGACTCCAAAGGCTTCTACATCTCTCTTCAAAATTCCAAGACCCACAGAGCTCTGTGTCTGTGGACACACAGAGCTCTGAGGTCTACTCCTCATTAACAAATATTTTGGCCCCCTTTCGGAATATAATTTCCTAACAGTTGCTAGAAAGAAATGAAAATAACTTCCACTATGGCCTTCACGGGAACTTGGGTCTTTGGTCTGAGCACCTATATAAAAAAATGCTTTCATCTGCGTCATATACACCATCATCTGCCATTTCATGGACTCAGTCGGATGACACTGTTAAGCCATCTGGAGAACATTCGGAGGAGCAGTTTTTGTTTTTGTCGGTCCAAACGCACTCCTCGTTACTCCTCCATCCTGGCCACCGAGGAAGCCACTCACAGCCTCACTCCCACTCTTTGTGGGAGGGGTCTAAGGTAGTGAAGAGCGCAGGTAATAGATGAGACTTTTTTCAAAAAAAAAAAAAAAGAATCTTAGAAAAGAGGGAGTGGCTTCATATTCAGGTCCTTACAAGCTTTCCTTGAGGCACTTTCTCAACTATTTGGAACCAAAAACTTTTGATGAAGACAAATGGCCTCAACTGGACAACTGGCTACTTGTAGAGGTCATCTATTTAAATCAATAAAAGGAGACACATTAACTTTAGCTGGTGGCATGACATAATTGTAAAGGTTTGATATTACTGTAAACAACACTTTCACTTTTTATTTATTTATTTTCTTGAGACAGAGTTTCACTTTTTCGCCCAGGCTGGAGCGCAGTGGCACGATCCTGGCTCACAGCAACCTCTGCCTCCTGGGTTCAAGCAATTCTCGTGTCTCAGCCTCCTGAGTCGCTGGGATTACAGGTGCGCGCCACCGCACCTGGCTGATTTTTTGTATTTTCAGTAGAGATGGGGTTTCACCATGTTGCCCAGGCTGGTCTCAAACTCCCGAGCTCAGGCAGTCTGCCTCGGCCTCCCAAAGTGCTGGGATTACAGGCGTGAGCCACCGTGCCTGGCCTAAGCAACACTTTTTTATTTTTTGAGATGGAGTTTTGCTCTTGTTGCCTCGGCTGGAGTGCAGTGGCACGATCTTGGCTCGCTGCAACCTCTGCCTCCCAGGTTCAAGCGATTCTCCTGCCTCAGCCTCCTGAGTAGCTGGGATTACAGGTGCCTG